TCTCATTCAACATGATGAACTTTGCGGCACGATACCTACGACCTGTAGCTACTACTAGCGCGGGAGTAGTAGAAGGAGGAGGAGAGGTAGAGGAGGAAGTAACCGAAATTCCGCCGGAATTGGAGGCGCGGCTCCGTGGACACAAGGTGGTGGCGTATCCCTCACCAACACGAGGCCGACGAACGCAAGCTCCAGATTCATCTTCGCCTCGACCTCGTAGTCTATCGGAGTCTCGGAAAGCGGCTCGGACCAAAGACATTGTCAAGGATGTATACGATCGCATGGGCATTCCGTATGATCGAGAAGCAGGAGCGGACTTGACAATGACTCGTCCAAGCAGGTCTCGTCGAGTCGAAGATACGTCCTCGGAGCGATCACGTCCTCGCTCCCTTTCAAAAGGCCGAATTGCGTCCATTTGGCCGCCTCCGTCGCAGCAAACGAGCCTTGATAATTCATGGTCGTTTTCGCCGACAGAGTCTCAGCTTTCTCCAACGAAACGAACCATGAATGCGACGACGGCATTGGCCTTTCAAAAGGCAAAGCCTTCTACAAATGCCATTCCAGCCTTTGGGAGCCCTGCATACTGCAAGGACATGCTGACTCTCATGCCGCCACCGTCTCCGCAGACTGAAAAGAGGGAGGGTTCAGTCTCACCAAAAAGCGCTTTGACGGAAAAGACGGACGTTGTTTCAGAAACGGACGCATCCAGAGACGACAATTTGGCTGCTACCGTTCAGCAAAAGCGTCTTTCGGTCAAGGACCGCATTAACAATCTTAGCGGTGTTTCTAAAGAGCCTCTTGTCAAGACGCGCTACGTTCAGTCACGCAGCGGTGACACCCAACTAGCGGCGAAAATTGCGTCTGGAGGGGGAGGGGGACTTGGATTAGTGTCAAAGGTTGACGGTTCGTTTGGAGAGAAGAACGATAGTGAACTGGCCATTGAAAAAGGATCGAGTCATCGAAGCGGAGAAGTGCCTATTAGCAAGGCGAGTTCAATACGCCATATTGGAACTGCCTCGTACCTGCCAAGCTCAAAAGCTGTGGCACCATCAACAAGTGCACAGTTTGTCAGCAGCAAGCGCCAACCCTTGGCGTCAAGTGCTTTTCGCCGTACAGGGCCTGCTGAGACGGAGAAATTGACCAAGCTTACGACGCACGGGAAGTCATTTTCTTCCAACGACGACGACGATAGCACCGCGAGACGCCTAGTTAGTATGCAGGCACGCGAGTCTGTCTTGAGCAATAGAGAATCCATGGATATGTCATACCATAACGACGATATCGACCGGCTCATTGACGAACGGGTGCAAGCGCATGTGGCTGTGATTGAAGCCCGCATGGAGACGCAGCTTGGACGCTTCATGGAAGAAGTGAATCGGGAAATGGAGCGAATGCAGGCTCAACTGAAGGAGCTGCACGCGTTCAAAGCTGCTTCCTACCGCAAGTGAGGACTATGTCATGTGTGACAATGTGTTGTATGTAAACTTAAACTTAGCTTTAGTGTGAAATTAAACTACGACGTTGTATTCACCTTCTTTGGCCGTTTTTTAGCCGATTGCCTTCCTTCCACTGGGCGCGACGGTGCAGCTGTTGTTGCTAGCACTGGTTCTGAAGGCGCAGCAACATTATGACTGGAAAGAACATCCGCATCCGCCATTGGTGGAACATTATTCTCAGGTGGTGCGTCGGCCTTTCTCTTGCGTTTCACAGCCTTCTTTGCAATTGCTTGAAAGGACGAATCCTTGTTCTTGTCGCCTGACTTTGGCGCAGCTGCACTAGCCTCCGTCTTCACCGACGCAACTGCTGCATGAACAGTTGCCGCCGGGCGTGGTTGCTTGGACTTGAGTGCTCCAGGATTTACAGGTGCTACACCTGCAACCGTGGCTAGCATTGCTTTTGTTTTGCCGCCCGAGCCCGGATTCTTCGTCTTGGCCCGTGCGACAGGACTCGACGCTACAGGCACAGCCGGAGTTATACCAAGCAGAGTGTCTTCGTCCACTACCCTACCTTCGCCACCCAGCTTGGCCAGTCTGAGGCGTTTGCTTTGAATGATTCCTTCCTTTTGGATCACTTGCTTCTGACAAACAAGTAGTGTTAAAGCGTCTCGACGAACTTGGTCGTAAAGATCGCTTACCCGCTTGGTAGCAATTGGTTTTGCTGGAACTTTCAGATGCGTCAACATCTCATCCATTCGATTCAAGAGAGACTTGTTGATGCCAGCTGTACCACCAGTCGCTGGAGGAGCCAACCGACCAGATTGCAGGTATGGAACTTGAGACACTGGCTTGGGAGCTGTGCTACCAAACGCTTGATCCAGCACCGCTGGATCGATGCACGGGACTGTGGATCCAGGCATTGTTAAAGTGCCTCCGGAAGCTTTTCCCTTTGCTGCAGCCAACACATGTCGGCCAGACTTTTTTAGCTTACGCAACTGCGCTTCAACAAGCTTGAGCTCCTTTCGAATTTCCAATTCCTCCACTTCGTCTTCCTTGGGTCGATTCCAGAGGGCTTCCAAATGAGCTCTTCGGCCTCGCTCATATTCCAAATCAAACTTCTTGTTGGTGGTACCAGAGCCAGTATTTTGAATGAGAGGTTGGTTCTCTGACTCTGTCGAAGCCAGCGCTCGAGCCGCAGCAGTCTCCATCAATATGGCTTCTGGTGCGCCCGAGGTATGGCCAGACGAGTCGTGCCGTGAGGCCGCGGTAGACGCCACTAAATGCTGAACCTCCTTCGCTGCTTCCTGCGCAATCCTGGCCGCGTTAAGTTTGGATGCTACCGAGTAGTATCTGTGCTGCAAATCTTCAATCTTCTCTGAGCAATCAATTCCAAACGCCTCGATCCAGCGGTCGTGGATAATTGGCCATCGCAACTCAAATCGACGAGCCAATTCAAGTAAAAAATCTGTCTGACTCTTGCTCCACGAATCATTTTGACAGTAACTCTTGTATTCTTCATCATTGTAGGTGACTGGATCAAGATGAATATCAAATCTGGCGTACGGATAGTCGGGGTACTCAACATTGGCGCGGACCCAGTGATGAAAGATTGCTCCGTCCGTTCGAGCGCTTGAGGAGAACGGCGCCCAAGCCCACTTTCGAGCAGGCTTGGCAATGGAGATGAACTTGTTTCCAACCTTGACAACGTCCGGTCCACTCTCAAGGCGAATGTTGGATTCGGAGGCTGCAACGGAAGTGTTCGATGATGTCATGGTATTCAATTTTGTAACTACCGGAACGCTCATGGGATGCTTCAAAGACATTACGCTTGCCTGACTGGTAGAAGATGCGCCGCCACCCAGTAGTTGCATAGATTTGTTAGGCTGATAGCCGGGAGGCTTGGCCGGAGGAGGGGCGGCCGGTGTGGGCACCACGGACGCGGATGACAGCTCCTTCGAGACGCCGAGAATTTGGGCAATGTCGGACATGATTCCAACTGTTTGCTGCTAAAGTGTAATTGCCAAAGTTGACTGCTTGACAACGCTAGGAATGGTTCGTTGTAAATTGCTGCGTTGATGCATGGTGTCGCGGCGAATGCAGGAGGGGTAATCGTGCCAGTCACGATGAGACACCTTTCCATGTCGCCATGCCAAAACCTTTGCTTCCTTTTTAAAAATGGCGCTATTATTTAGTTATGCCAGTGTGTATATGGAGCTGCAAGGCTACGGCAATTATAGACGAAGGCTTTAGACATTTGCATGGGACAGGATTAAAGTATGATCACATCATGGAGCTTGCCGGTTGCATTGCAGTTTGCTGAGGACCAAAGTCGCATGCTTGAATCACATTTGAATCTTATGGCACCCGCAACAATCGATAAGATGCAAGCATGTTGCTGTAGCTGGAAAATTCATACGTCGTAAGTAAAACGAAAGCCAAAACTTGGTTCAAGAACAGTGAATCGATTTGAACACTTCGGCCATCCATTTCCTTGTCATTCAAAGTTGTATAGATATACAGGCGAACCAGCTTTTGTGTTCCGATTCACCTCCGTCGGCTCCCAGCCTGGAATATGAAACATGTACGCCACGACTCGGAAAGAACGTCCTTCTGCCTTGTGTTGATCGACAACCCTCTGCAGTAAAGGTGCGATTAGCTTCAAACCCTTGGGGACCAGAAATAGAAAGAGTGCGGTAGCGTCATGTATAGTAAGATCACTGCACAAACACTCGCTCGACTCTAAAGTCGTTTTGTGTGTCTCTTCGGCCGCTAAAAGAACATCGCCCAAACGCATTTGAACTCGTTTTTGAATTTCACATCGCAATGTCGATATTGAAAGCTCGGCTCGATTCACAAACATCTCGTTGATTTCAATCCCCACGCATCTAAGGCCTGCGAATGTTTGCGCTGCCTGTAACAATAGCCTCCCATCACCTGCGCCAAGGTCGAAAAGAATGTCGTGTTGGCCAAGCTGGAACAGCTCGAGAGCAATCTTAATGGCACTGTCGCTAATTGGATTAAACGGCGCCAAAATGTTCGCTCCAACATCCTTTGGATCATGTTGTTTGACGTTATGTTCTGAATGTTTCATTTTTGTGGATTGTGAGACGAATTGGTGCATAGAGGACGACATGATAGGCAGGATTGACAATGGATGCGTTGTCGCTGTCGAGGAACAAATGTGGAGTACCGCTGCGATGAGACCAATGAATGTATGATGGATTCACGTTGCTTGGCGAATTGAAGCACAAACACTCTGGAAGAGAAAATGGGTGAGGCTCATTGCACCGGTACTACTAGTAGTGTATAGAAACATGGGTATCATTTCAAACTTGCCACACCGACCAGTAGTACTTTTGCGGGAACCTAATGCCACCAGAGAACCCTACATCTCACCCCTGACATTCTTGGAAGTAATGTAATGTAGCGAGCGAATGATGTTATATTGTTGTCGTGGACCAGTGTCTTTCTAACGTGACTTATCATCGAAGAATACTACACTCTGATGATAATATCGGCATATGATATAAACGCAGAACTTGTCGAAGGCAAAAAGTATATCAATGCGGTTGCAGGGAATCGAACCCTGGACAATTGCTTGGAAGGCAACTATTTTACCACTAAACTACAACCGCGGCTGTGTCGGAATGATGACAATAAGTGGAATTAGATCCTTGTTTGTTGTGCTGGTGCGACACACGCCTTTCACCATCTTCATGGATCCTCATTCGAAGATCACCATTGCATCACCCCTCATCTTCGTCGTTTCTTGTACTTTCAAGCGATTGTTTACGAGCAATGGATGCCACCATGTTTGGACCCCTGCCCCTAGTCATTGGAAATGACATTTTAGATCTTGGTTCCCGCAAGACGTCGCGTCATCGACAGGGAGAGCTCGGACTCGCGAATACGCAGCAACTCATGTGGACTGGAGCGCCTGGACAGTTTGACTTGCCAAACGTTCCTGATGTGAGTTAAAGACTGAATGAGATTATATGGATGTTGATGTTTTTAAAATGTTTATCTTACGCCTTCTGCAATTCTTTTCGCTACTCTCACAGCCCGCCCTGTACTGCCGCTCCAATTTTGCTTCGACCTGCGGCACGGGCGACGAGGAGCAGCGCGTCAAGTTTGCCAAGGGAACAACGACACTGGCCTTCAAGTTTAACGGCGGCATTATAGTTTCCGTTGACTCGCGAGCCACGCAGGGAGCCTACATTTCATCTGGAACGGTCAAGAAGATTATTGAAATTAATCCATTTTTGCTTGGCACCATGGCCGGTGGAGCAGCCGACTGCAGCTTTTGGGAGCGCAACCTTGGTATGGAGTGCCGACTCTATGAGCTACGCAATGGACGTCGCATTACAGTGGCTGCTGCGAGCAAGTTGCTGGCGAATGTCATGTCTAGCTATCGCGGATATGGCTTGTCAATGGGTACCATGGTGACTGGATGGGATGAGACTGGTCCGCAGCTCTACTACGTTGATGACGATGGAACGCGCTTGAAGGGAAAGTACTTTTCGGTTGGAAGTGGATCGACGTATGCCTATGGTATATTGGACAGTTATGTCCGCGATGACTTGACAGTGGAGGAAGCCATTGACGTTGGTAAGCGGGCCATTTACCATGCGACGCATCGTGATGCCGCATCTGGAGGAATCAACAACTTGTATCATGTGACCAAGGAGGGATGGCGCGTTGTCCATGCGATTGATGTCAATGATATGCATTACGAGTACCAAGAGGAGAAGGCGAATGCCATGGCGTCGTAGGTTCACACGTAGACGGAAGATAAACAAGCTGTAGTCACTGTCAATTCGATTAACCTTATCTCCCTTTCAATCTGAAAAAAAGTCCTCATCCTCCTCCCAGTCATCATCATCCAATTCGTCGTCAAAGTCTTCTCCTTCCGCCGACAAGCCTGCCATGTCTCCATCCTCCGCCACGAGGGACGCTGGATTGGCAAAGTCAAGATCAGCCCGCTTGGTTCCATCCGTGAGCTGATCAATCAGAAACATGACATCGACCGCCGCGCCAACATCAACCTTGTGAAAGGTCAAGTTTGGACATGCTTTCATGTGATTCATACGCTGCGCCAAGGAGTGGCGCAATGCCTTGGTGTTTGTGACCAACCAACTGTAGGCTCGTCGTTGCTCCATGGCTGGACTAAAGCCTTCCTCCATGTCTTGACGCTTGTTGGGATTCGATCGAATCGATACCGCAATGCGAGCTTGACGAAGATCTGGAGAAACGTCGACACTGACAATGCTAATTCGCTGTCGAGTAGCCGCTTCGAGTTGGGTGGCGCCTAGTTTGAGTGTTCCGCTCTGGATGATTTGAGCGAGTTCTGTTTTGACTAATTGGCCAACTCGTTCCTGTCGCTTGGAAGACATTTGTGAATTGTTTGATCTGGAGGATGAGGATGCTCGGTTCGAATTGTATGATGACAGCTGGTGCAGCTGACGAGAGTTAGCATGCCGATGATCATGCTGCTTGGGAGTAATGAGAAAGGACTCGGCTTCGTTAAAGCCTGCAAAAAGCGCAGCAACTAGAATCAAGCATTGTCTCATGGTAATTATCTGTTCGGTCAAGATAGGTGCGATGTTGGGATCAATAGCAAGGCGTTTCGATGTTGTGATGGCTGGTCGCCGCGAATCGAAAGCACTAACATCGCAACGGTATTCATTTTTGGAAACGGATGTTTTTTCCTCCCTTCGTTCATTTTCGTCGACCATGAGGATCCGAAGGAATCGCTTGGCACCGATATCCTCCCATCCACTGTCATCGCTGCTTCTTTTCTTGATTCTTATTCACTTTGCTGACTCCTTTCAAAGCAGGACGTGTCGGCCATGGGCACAATGTCCACATCGCACCCTTGTTGTTGTTCCACTGTCGGCCAAGAGCAATGCTTTCCAACAAGATGATGGCAATCCATTGGATCGCAAATTTTTAGAGCGAAATCAGCGTTGGGTAGTCTTGGTCGACGATGAGCTCGCCATACGACAGGCTGTCGGAGACTACCTATACGACCAAGGATATCAAGTCACGGCCTGCTCGGATGCCGATGCCTTTCTGGAACTATGTTCCCAGCCTTTGCAGCAGCAGCCATCTGCGACAAGCAAGCTTCCGTCGATTCCAGACGCTATCATTAGTGATATTCGAATGCCAGGAAAGGATGGAATTCAACTATTGAGATTGATTCGAGACGATGACCGGCTCTCGCGTGTCCCTGTCATTCTACTCACGGCTAAGGGCATGGTACAAGACAGAATTGTTGGGTTCAAGAGTGGGGCAGATGCTTATCTTCCAAAACCTTTCAACCCAGACGAGCTACTGAGTATTTTGGATAACTTGATACTGCGGAGGAAACAAATGCAGAAAGACACGGGCGAAATTGACGAGCTAAAGGCAAACATGAGCGAAATCAAAATGCTAATGAAACAAAACTCCGAAAATTTAGTCAAGGATACGGACGTTTACCTGACACCAGTAGAGCGACAAGTTTTGGAGCTACTTTGTAAAGGGTTTACCAATGGGGAGATTGCAAATGAACGAAACAGCAGCGTCAGTGCAATGCGCAGTTGCATTACGCGACTCTATCAAAAGACCAGCACGAATACTCGAACAGCGCTGGTTCGCTGGGCCCTTCAGACTGGCTATGTATCCAGATGATATGGTGGACGTTTGATCAACTCACCGGTCGTCGCTAGCGATAATAATCAAACTTATAAAGCTAGTAGGTATATACGTACATTTCTTACACACAAAAATGACTCTATTTCTATTCTTTGTCGAAGCCAAAGATTCGATTGTACAAGTTCTTTCCATACCAGCGAAAGTCGCGGTTCACAATCCCATGTGCAGCATCTTGCTCCTGGTATCCGTGTGCAAACTCTTCCGGGGTCCACCCGCACTGTTCCAGCGCCCAGTTGTGTGTCTCTTCAGTAATGCAGTGAATGAGTCGGTACTTGTTCAACTCCTGTTTGGACTCTACAATCAAGCCGTTCGACAAGAGATTCTGTAGAATGGCAACGTAGCGATGCTTGGTCTGCTCGTTGCGAAGCTTGGTCCATTGCTCTGGGTCATCAATCATGCCTGATGTCACCAAGCCTCGTTGCGTCTTTAATTTGCGCACCAAATCCCACGAGAAAATGGCCTTGAGCGACCGACGTAGACCGGCACGGCGTCGCATCAGATCAATGAGCTCCGAGCGCTCCCAAGTCATGACGGTGGACGTAGTGTCGGCCACAACAGTGCAACAAGACTCAACATGGCCTGGTAGGTACAAACCAGCATGCAGAGCAATTTCGGAAATGAAACTCGCTTCTTCCACCATATATGTGAAACTTCCGTCGCGAAATACCTTGAAGCGTCCATCAAGGACTAGTCGAACGTAGCTATTGTTTTCACCCTGCGCCATGAGCACGTCTCCTTCACGAAAGGTTTCAATTTTGGCACGTTTGGCCAAGCAACAAAAGTCCGCTGGATCCATGACGTAAAAGTGACGGTCGCGCAAATCAAGGAGCTCCTGGGAGAGGTAATTCGCCTGGAGTCGCTCCAAATATACAGTTCCGAGGCGTTGCAGATTGATCAAGGTAAAGAGAAGGTTCCACTTGAATGGCAGCCATAGGATCCGGCCATGAGGATGAAAATATGTAAAGAAAAGCATGCAAGTTGATCCGGCTACGGCCATGATTCGCAAAGCGACAAAATCTCCCGAATAATAGGATAACGCCACGAGAATAAAGGAGCTATGGCCGAGAATCTCCGAATAGGTGATGGTGTAGTATGTCGGGCTGATCCAGCGAGGAATTGGAATGTTATGAGGCTCCATAAGAAAGTCGTTGAGTTGGTTCCGTCGCTGTAATAGACGCTCGCGTAAAGTTGCGTATTTTGGCGAAACGAACTTGCTTGTCATGGTCGATTCTCGCCGTTTGGTGGCGGTGGAGTGGAGCCGTTGCGAAACCTGGCGACGACTGGGCGGACCCTTCAGACTGGTTGATGCAAATCGCATCATTTGAGCTCGTAAAGCTTGATGAGACGTCAGCATGACTCAGTTGGCACTTCGCTTGTTTCAAGTCGAGCTAGTGTACTGAGCTTGGCAAGAGCCGCTTTGTTCTGTAGTACCTCAAACGCCGAGACTTGTTTGACTTGTGCTGTTGCTTTGCCAGGTAGTTTTGCCTTATAAACCAAAGTAAATGGATTAGATCAGCACACTCATGCAATGCTTCCTCTTGATTGCGGCTGGTAGGAGTACTGTGCTCTGCTCGGGGACCGATTTAAGTGTCAAGCATGACGGAAGAAGTTAAGTGATTCATATTCGCTTCCGTGGTGGGCGAAACCGCGAGTCGGATCTTTTGCATCGCACTGGTTTTAAAAAGGCGCGGGCGCCGCGACGAAGTTCGAAACGATTCTGACAAGGGGACCTGACGGTCTGTGGCACTGCCCCGCCCCTTGCTTGTGACTGCCGCGGAGTGTACCGGCAGAGAGTGTGACACTGCTGCTGGCCTGTAAGCGGGAATACATTGACTTGATAGGTGGATGGACCTCACTCATTTAGCAAAACACATTGGACTTGATACGTGGATGGACCTCACTCAATTAGCTGGAGCACATTGGACTTGATAGGTGGATG